GGCCCTCCTCACCCTCGTCACCTCCTGGACCTGCATGTGTGTGAATATGAGTAAATCTGTCCTCCACATCTCCTGTGCTGTAGAGTTAGTCTGACTTCCTGTGGACACCGAGTCACAGGAGCTGGTTAGGAGGTGGCTTTAGGGACAACTTCTTCCCGACAGTCATGAGAAGAAGCCGCCCTGGTGGCTGGGTCACATGCTTAAAGGAGGCCATGATGTCAGGCCCTACCCCGTGGGGTTGGAATTGGCTGTTTATTCCCAAATGTGGGTGCCTTTTCTAGAGCTTGCCCATTGCCACACCTGTCCAGACAGCCACTGGCTAAAGGGGGCACTGTCATCCTCCCTCTCTCTGTTCTTTCCCCTGTGCTTGAGTCGTCCTTGGAGAAGGCAGCCTGAGAGCAGGCAAGGGAGCAGGTTCCAAGATCTAGGGAGTCCTGGCAGAATGCTGACTTGCTGAGAAGCTCAGGGTGACCTGGCCTCCTGTCCAGTGAGGCCTGAGCTTTCCCCCCTCCTAGCAGCCAGATCACTGCTTAAGTAAAAGGAATCCCGACATTGGAGTGTATGTAGACTAGCATCAAACAGCCATCAAATTACAGCTGCTTCCCACTTTGCCCAGGCTCCTGGGATCCGAGTGGACACAGCTTATGGCAACCAACTGCCTACATTTCCCTGTCAGTGATAAAGCCACACAGAGGCACCCTTGCCAGCGTTTGCCATATGTTTACCAATTAAACCTTAAATGCATGCCACATGCTGGGCTGTTGCAAACACATTTTCGTTTTGATGTGGCTATTCTGAAGTAAATGTGTGCAAGAACATATGCTTTCCGTCAACCAAATGATGACACTGCTATTGCTGAAACTCTGCTTTTACATGGCTTGTAAGATGGATGGGGTTTTATATCTCTTTGCTAAATACTCTATTATCAGATGAAAAAGAAATTACCATAAAAATTCCTTTACCACCAAGAGGAATTTTTCTCAAGAGGCCTGTTCGTTCCATCCTTGTCTCTGCCCAGTCCCATTTTTACTTTTAGGGAAAAGCACTGGATACGCCCATTCTTAGGCTCCTGGGCTCACAGCTATGTGCCCTGTGGTTTTTCCCTGCTGCTGCAGGCCAGTGAAGCTTTGCCCTCAAACCTCTAGTTCCTAAGATGGTCACTCCTCAGGACAGCAGAGGCCCTGGCTGTCCCAACCACCCTCGCTCTGGTCTCCTCAGGAAGCAGGTTGCTGACGAGGCTGGCATTCACAGAACGTGAACAACGTGTCATCCAGCTATGGTCTGGCGGAAAGGCCAAGGCCTCCGTTCCCTTCACCCAGTGGTGACTTGCTGAGAAGCTGAGGGCGACCTGGGCCCCTTGTCCAGTGAGGCCTGAGCTTTCCACTCCTCTAGTAATGCAGCTGGCCTCCAGGGAGCCTGCTCAGTGCACCCTGTCACACTGTCCCTGCTTTCTTGAGCAGGCAGATGTCCTATAGAGGAAGCTCCCTCATGTGCTAGTGCTGGGTTGTGGGGTCTGGACTGCTCCACCTGGACTTCCTGCCACCTGCAAATCTAGCTCATTTTCAGTATTGCTTTGAGAAGTGAGGGCCTAGGGCTCAAGTATATTTTCTTAGGGCTCACTGCCAAACTTCCAGCAACGTGGCTTCACCCAAACTGAGTGTCAGACCCTTAGGAATGACCGCCCTCCTCTGAGCTTCACTTGCAGACTTAGTTCAGAATTGTTTACATTCCTAATCACTTGGCAACCCTGGCACAGCTTACAGCTGAGAGTCTTGCTCAGCAAAAACATGCAAAGCCAGACTTCCCATGTGCCTGCCCCACACATGGTGATGACACATGTGGAAGCATGAGCATTTTACCTGCTCTAAGCATCAAATCACCACTGAGAAAACATGAGGCTGTTAGTTGCTTAGCAGCTTGATTTACCAGGGAATGTGTTCTCTTTCCATGCAGAGTTGAAGGATCATGGACCCATTTTCTCTTGGTACATATCAGATTATCACAAACACAGCCATTCACATCAGCATCTACTTATTATCTCTCTTCTCATGGGTCAGAAGTCCAGTATGGCCCAACTGGGTTCTCTGCTTTGGTATCACGAGGTCATCATCAAGGTTGTGGATGGCAAGGCTCTTATTATGATACCCTGTGAGGAACCCACCTCCAGGTTCACTTAGGGTGTTGGCAGAATTTTTTCTTGTGCTTCCAGGACTGAGGTGCCTATTCCTTGTTGGCAGTCTACCAGGCGTTACTCTTGGCTTCTAGAGACCAATACTCTTGGCTTCTAGAGACCAATACTCTTGGCTTCTAGAGACCATCCATGTTTCTCATCAAGTGGTCTCTTTGCCTCCCTCCCACCTAGCCCTCCTTTACTTTTCTGTCCAGACAGCAGTCCTTATTTATGTCGCATCATCTCCACAAACTAGGTAAGCTACATGTTTAGAAAGAGACGTGAGTATACATTTATAATGAAGGGGAGTGGTGTTTTCATTCGTAGGACAAAGGGGTGTTAGTTTCATCTCACTGCCATGTTCAGTCCATCAGCAAGTCCCATTGATTTCTTCCTCCAGTATTTCTCTCACATCCTGCTGCTCCTCTGTGTCTTCATTGCCGCCACCATTTGCAGTGATACTGTTTTTGGGATTTCGTCATCATTGTTTCTTTTCAGTTCAGAACCATTCCTTTAACGGTTCTTCCAAGACTGGTTTAGTGGTGATGAATCCTTTAGCCTTTCCTTGTCTGGAAATGTCTTAGTCTCCCCTTGAATTCTGTGTGTTAACCTTGCCACGTATGGACTTCTTGGTTGGAGGGTTTTCATGCCTTCACTTTGAGTATACTATGCCATTTCCTTCTGGCCTCTTAACAATAGTTTTGTTTGAAAAGCCTACAGATAGCCTTAATTGTTTTCTCTTGTACACAGACACATTTTTTCACTTATGTTTTAAATTTTCTCTCTTTAACCTTTGTTGTTGTAACTACAATGTCACTTGGCATTGGACAAAGATTGGACAGTAGATTGGACAGAACTAGGAATATATGACTTGTGGATTGCTGTGTGGGACATCTGGAGGCCTGACACAGCCTCTGGGTTCCTCTTACTTGGATCTCTTTGGGTTCCTTGTACTTTGATACCTGTTTTCCTCCCCAGATTTGGGGACTTTATGCTAATATTTCATTATTTCCTCAAATAATTTTTCTAACCCTCCCTCCCATGAAGCAATTATTCTTCTTCTTGGTATTGTGCCAGACATCACATAAGACATCTTCACTCTAATTTCTTCATTTTGCTTCTCTCTCTGGGTGAGTTCTTACAGCTCACTTGCCCTCTCCTCTGCTTCATTCAATCTTCTGTTTCACCCTTCTGTTGAACCGTCAGTCCCATCTTTCAGGTATTCTTCAGGTCTGTAATTTCTGTTTAGATCTTTTAAAAATGTTCTGGAATTCTTCATCAGATAGTTTGCTTATCTCAATTTCTTCAAGGTCTTTTTGGGGGCTTTGTGTTACTATTTTGTTTGCAGCATCTTCCTCTGTCTCCCTTTTCCCCACGATCCTCTGTGTTTTCCAATATGTATTGGCCAAGATTACTACCTCACAAGAATTGGTCTTATGCAGATGATTTCCTGTGGTGTTCAGGAGTGCAGACCCCTCTGGGGACTGAGGTGCTCAAGTTGTATTCCCTGTGTAGCGTCCACATACCTTTTGTGTCAAGAAGCACAGTGCATGGGCCCTTTGAGCTGTGTCTCAGTCACTGAGTTCGGTCAAGGTATGCGACTGCATGCTGAGGAGGCCAGCTGCCTCTGCTTAGTAGATTGGTCAGAACTAGGAATATATGACTTGTGGATTGCTATGTGGGACATCTGGAGGCCTGACACAGCCTCTGGTGCCCTGCACAGGGAAGCTGGTGACTACTGGCCTGCATGGGGTTGATGGGGGTCTGGCACATAGTGGCTGAGGGTCTGCCAATTTGCTGAGAGACGTTTCTCAAGTGCAGACCTGTCATGTGCTGCTGCCCACAGGCATGGGCTGATTTCACAGCAGGGCTGCTCCACAGGCTCTAATAGACTGGGGTGGGGAGATAATAAAATGGTACTCAGAGGCACTGGTATTAACAAAGTTGCAAGAAGCTACCAGTGTTTTTGATCTGAGGATTCTCCCTAAACCTTGCCTCTCAGGTAGATACTGTTCTGATGGTAAGTGGGGTTCTTTCACCTGTGATTAGGACATGTTGGCACCAGTGTTACTGTGGTGATTCCCAGGGCAGGTGAGTCATGCGTGTGCCCTTTAGGGGCAGGACCCTTCATTCCCCGTTGATCCTTGGTTCTCTTGGTGCTGAGCTGTATCAAGAGTTTGTGGAACTTAATACAGGACACAGCTCTCCCTCTACTCCTCAGTGGAAAGCCCCATACCTTTGAACCCTCCCAAACATGGGATTTCATTCTTGGGAGAGCATATCTCTCTCCTGCCAGTTTCAGTGCTTTGCTTTTACCCTTTGTTATAAAAGCTGTTTATCTGGCTTTGGTTCTCTTCTATGTAAATTATTTCCCATGTGATTTAAGAGGTGACTTCAGGTTCTTCCTACACCACCATCTTGACCCAGCACTCCTCTCCTCATCTTAAAGCCAGCACTGATACCTAAAATCCTTCCCAAGCTGCTAATCTCCCTCCTTTTCTCCTTTTTTTCAGCTAACTGGAAGACTCTGATTTAAAAGACTCATAGGATGGGTGAGGCCCACTTAATAATCTCTCTTCCTTATGGCCAGTTGACTGGAGACTTAATGTCAGCTGCAAAATCCCTTCCCAGCAATGCCCAGTCACTGAGTGGCCAGGGGACAGGATTCTTGGGACCCTGTGTTGAATTCTGCCTGTCCCTGTAGATGATACAGAGAAATCGACCTCATGTCCATGTTCGCACCTAACCTAGCATTTTCAAGAAGTTCCTCTTGTGACTGTAACCTCTTGTAACTATAACCTCTTGTGACTGTAACTGTTGTTCCCATCAGTGAGTGCCGGGGATCCTGTTCCCGAACCGGAGGCAGAACCAGAACCAGAACCAGAACCAGAACCAGAACCAGAGCCAGAGCCAGAGCCAGAGCCAGAACCAGAGGCAGAGGTGGGGCAGGTTGCTGATGAGGCCAGCCAGGAAGTAGCCCCTGCCCACCTGGGGACAGAGAGCGGAGTGGAGCGGGCCCTGGAGCACGAGCCAGAAGAGCGAGCCTCCCTCAGTGAGAAAGAGAGACAGAACGAGGAGGTGAACGAGAGGGACAACTGTTCCGCCTCCAGCATCTCATCCTCCAGCAGCACATTAGAGAGGGAGGAGAAGGAGGACAAGCTCTCCAGGGACAGGGGAAATGGTAATAAAGCCCCTTTTCTGAATAATCATATTCCAGGCATCAGAGAACAGAGCCCCAGCTTGCTTGCTTCAGAGATGACCAAATGCGTCAACTCATTTGCATGTGTATGGAGGTAAAGAGTGTGGTCACACAGTCAGTTCCCAGGCAGCTTCCCACCTCATGGAACAGCGCCCCGCACACTGTCTGTCAGGCTGTTACACTGCTACTTGCACTAATGCGTAAAGGGGCCTGCATGGATAATGAGGGCAACCCAGGAATTTTCTTGAGAAGTAAACCCCAAAAGGAAGATACCCCACTTCTAATTGTTAACAATCCATGTAGCTTTTACCAGATTAAAATTAAGAGATGTGTCATGTTGCTATTTCCTTGCAAGTGTTCTCTGAAATCTGTTAAACCATTGTGACTAAATATTTCAGATCAGAGCCAACTTGTTCAAGTGAATTGAACAAGTCCTTCCAGAAAGTAGTACCTTCTAGTGTATGGAGGTCAATTCGGTGTGTCACACTGGAATTTACATAATGTAAATGATGTTCTACAATGGACTCACACCCACTCTGTGGTGTCAAGAGCACGTTTCTCCTTATGGCATGCCCTCTTTTTGGTGTTATACCTGATAAGCATTTAGTTCCCTTTTGTAATGGCAACTGTATGATTAAGAACCAAAAGGAATTTTCATTCTTACCAGGGATTTGAGGAGGGTGCCATTGAGAACTGTAAATGATTCATATAATCATTTATTGTGATTCATATATGACCCATGGGGACAATTTTCCTTCCTATGACTGTGCTATTAGGGTAGCACAGAGTGGGAGCCCCCTCTCACCAGGGAAGGCCTTACTGTGAATCGCCATTCCTTAAGCTACAGAGAGACACACACTTAAGCAACTTACAACTTGGCCCCAAAGGGCAGCATGAAGTCACCACAAGTACCTGCAGACCAGTGGTATGGGGCACACATGGTTTGTTAGTTCACAGATTGAGTACATTGTGTCTAAGGCATAAATGGATGGACTGACGGATGGACTGATGGCTGGCTGGCTGGCTGGCTGGCTGGCTGGCTGGCTGATTGGGTGGATGGACTGACGGATGGATGGAACAAACTATACAATTTCCATGAGACCAGTCAGTGGCTTAATCTAAACTAGTTACTATTTCCATTTTTACCAGTTAGAATGTCCTATTAGATTTTACTATTTATATTGCTGATCACCATTATGCCACTAAGAAGGACTGAAAGACTATTAATTGACATCTTTGGAATTATTGTATCAAAAATCTTGCGTCCATCTTGTTGAGGATAGATGTGTTAAGAGATATTGCATACACTGATACTTAATTTCTTTGAAGGTCAGATTAGTCTCCCAAATTCTCTTATCATTCACATTGAACATAATGATGATCCCATTTTAGGTTGTGTTGGGTAAGTCTTCTTGATCAGCTTAGCCTAGAATTATGTTTTATCTGTTATGAATAACTTTGTCAGAACTGTGTGCAGCAGGCCTAAAATGTAATAAAATAGCTTAGTAAAAATAAGTCAATGAGTAGAACATTTGGCCAGATTGTCCAATAGTGTCCCAAATAAGGACAACTTTCCAAAAACAGAGACTACTCCCAGTAAAAAACCAGAGATGCACTCCCAAAAGTGGGTAGCATCTGGGTGTCTAGACTTGGGAACAAGGGCTGTACTGTGGTTTTCAGCTCCATTCTGGTGCTGTTAAGAGAGGTGACTGCATTTGCTGTAGGTTACTGGTTCCCGGAAGCCCTACTGCTTACAGGCACTATTGTGGAGTCAGGGCAGCTCTGTCCTAACTCTTGCTTTTCTGAATGTTCTCAAGTATCAAAGGCAACTGAAATGACCCCAATCATATGTCAGATGTTTGTATCTGTTTACTGAGAATGAATTTGTAGGATTCCAAAAAGAGTCAACTGATCTGGTGTGTGGTTTCCTTTTCTTCGCTGCATGAGTCCTGTTGCATGGCAGAAGCATTGGTGGGCTACCGTAGCATTCGTCATACTTTGTTCCCATACTTATTTAACTGTCCATCTCCACTTGAATGTGAGCTTTGGGAGAAGGGGGTCTCTGCCTTGATCCTGTGAACCCTTACTTCTGTCTGGGTGTACAGATTATAGCAGTGTCCCATAAAACCACTGATGAATAAACAAATAACGAGACTTCTGGCTAAGAAGGAGAAGCTCCGTGCCTCCCTGGCCCTCCCTCTGACAGCTAAAGCTGATTGTAGCATGAGTATTTACTAACAAGATTCCCTGCTATGTTGGTTTGGAGGGTGTAGAAGGGAGATTGAGAATCACCAGGATGATTTCAGGGATTTTGGAACTGTCAGGAAGATGGATGAATTTACCACATCAGAGACAGGACAGCAAGTCTGGTGAGGAGAATTGGTGTGTGGACAGACGGTGGTATTTAAAGCCCTGACACTGACAAGACGATGACTAAGAAAGCAAGTGTAGATGTTTTTAATCTTTAAGATGCTTAAAGGTTAAACATAAGGAGCAGCCTAGGTGACTGAGAAGGAGGAGCCAGAGGAAGAAATCCAACCAGGTGAGTATTGCATCCAGGAAGTCAAATGAAGGATGTTAGTGGAAGGGTCAGCTGAGATTAGTGCCACCATGAAAGTTACTGGTCACCTGGAGAAGAGCCTCTCTGAAAGATGGTGGGGACAGAACTTCATTGGACTGGGTATAGGAAAGAATAAGGAGAGGGACTGGAGACCATGACCCAACAACTCTGAAGTAGCTTCACACTCCAGGAAAGAAGAAAATTTGCATTTTAGTTGGAGAGTGGTGGTAACCAGGGATTTTTCTTTTTAAAGTTGGGTGAAATTATACGATGTTGATGAGGAGCATGGTAGGTGCAGGAAGGGCATTGTTAGAGGGTTTTCAATGCTGGACTGGCTGACCTGTTAAGTTTGTCAACTGTAATTTATAGTAGTCACAGAGGGAACTGTCATGGTTGGGATTCAGATGCAGTGGGGTGGATATAGAAAAACAGTTCTAGAAGAACTGGAAGAACTGATTTCATCTGTTGAGATGGCAAAGAAGTAAGGTCATCCTTACATGAAGAAGAGATGGGTGGGGAAGATTAGAGGACAGAAGAGCAGTGTAAAGGTCAGCTAGGGGTCATGGTGAACTCACGGGCAGCACTGATGGTCTCCTGAAGACGAGTGACCATGAAGTTAAAGTGAGGCCAGTGGCGTGGTTTATGTAATTATCCAGGCCCTTTGATACAGATGTGGAGTAGAGATGGAGCAAAGTCTTTCCAATACTTACATTGATGAGAGATCATCTTCCTTGCCTCCTCGTATCTCACTCATACCTAGTTAAGACAAAAGCCCCTTCATTACCTGTGACTGAGTGGGTCCTGGCCAGCAGTCATGGATGGGCAGGAAGGGTGAGAGAAATTTCTCGCCTGAGCTTAGGCAGGAGACACAAGTAGGTTCACATGTGTGAGTCTTGCTGCTGGTATATGTCACTGAGACTGAGGTAGCCTTTCTTCCTGGTCAAGAGCATCTTGTCAGCTGTGACCACCTTCCCTTCAATCTTCTCTAATGTCACTCTGCATGCAGAACGCAGGTGTTTACTACTTGGCCTTCTCATTTTCCCCTCTGTCTCTTTTCAGGTTTGTGGTCCACAGGTGTTCAGGATGCCGGTGTAAATGAGCAGTGTGGCGACATCCTCACCAACAAACGGTTCATGCTGGACATGCTGTATGCCCATAACAGAAAGTCCACGGAGGAGGAGGAGGAGGAGGAAGAGGAGGAGGGCCCAGGCCCGGCCAGCAGGACTGAGCAGGGGGCAGAGGCAGTGGCTAGCTTGGCCAGCAGAATATCCACCTTGCAGGCCAACTCTCTAGCCCAGGATGAGAGTGTCAGGAGGGTGGACGTTGACTGTCTGGACAATCGGGGCAGTGTGAAAGCCTTTGCTGAAAAATTTAACAGCGGGGATGTAGGAAGAGGGTCCGTCTCCTCTGACACCGAGCCCAGTGAGAAGGTCTCTGAGAAAGCATCTGCACAGCAGAAGACTGAATCGGATTATATCTGGGACCAGCTCATGGCCAATCCAAGGGAGCTCAGAATCCAAGACATGGATTTCACTGACCTGGGGGAGGAGGATGACATCGACGTCCTGGACGTGGACCCAGGTCACAGGGAGGCCTCCGGGCCACCGCCCCCACCCCCGCCCATCTTTCTGGGTCTGCCTCCCCCACCCCCTCCACCCCTGTTGGACAGTGTGCCTCCCCCTCCTGCCCCTGGTAATTTATTGGCTTCTCCTCCAGTGTTCAATGCTCCTCAGGGCTTAGGGTGGCCCCAGGTACCCAGGGGTCAGCCAGCATTCACAAAGAAAAAGAAGACCATCCGTCTGTTCTGGAATGAAGTGCGACCGTTCGAGTGGCCCTGTAAGAACAACCGCCGCTGCAGAGAATTCCTGTGGTCGAAACTGGAACCCATTAAGGTGGACACTTCCAGGCTGGAACATCTGTTTGAATCGAAATCGAAGGAACTGTCCGTCTCAAAGGTACCACTAGCATCCAGCATGCTGCTTGCTTTGCAGGGTTGCTTTCCACTGTTGAGCAACACTGAAGGGCTTTGTGCTCAGCAAAACCCCCTTCTTTTTAATGAGGTGTATATTGTGACAAAGTTCTCTAAATATAAACATAGTATTACAGTCTTTGTGCTGCATGCCAGGTATAAACTAAGAGAATGGGGAAATCCAGAATAGCTAAGATGGACACCAGCTTCCTAGGAAGATTAGGCAAAGTAGTTCCCAGAGCACCAAATAACCTAGAGGGAAAGACAAAAAAGATTAACCAGGGAACGATCAGATAGCCCAGCAGCAGATGTTGACATTTACTAAAGGAAAGCAGACTTGCTGATTTATCAAACACCTGGACTTTACTGGGGGATGTGTTTATGTACTCTTATCTTCATTGATTATAGTTGATAGTAGCCTCAACTTCAGCTGTAATCACACAATGTGTTTGCAAAAGCAACAATCCAAGTGACATTTTTTTTTTTTGGATAATCCCTTGGTTCAGTCATCATTCTGCAATAATTTAGATGTTTCCAGACGTTATGTCTGCTCTTATAAATGGAAAACACTGTTCATAAAGTTATTGGGCGTCAAAGGTGAAGTCATGGTTAATGAACACTGATAAGTAGAAGATAGTGGGTCACGGATTTTATTCTAATGATTCACTGCATTCATCAGGTCTCCTTTACATATCTTAAAGAAATATTTAAAAAAAACTGTTTTTGGCTATATAATTGTTTTTAAACAGAGAAAACCAAGGTATGAAGAAACAGTTGTGAAATGTGATGTAGGGGTAAGTAGAAGAGTCTAGGCCTTAATCTCGTGAATTAACTTTAGCTTATAAGTTACTCCACTTGTCATCACTCCGGGTGAGTTGACTCCCTGCTTCTGCCACTTGTAATCGATTCTGAATCCACATGTACGGGTGGCATCCTCAGGACAGGAGAGCCCTTCAGACAAGAAGTCCAGTGACAGCGATGGTGCCTGGCACTGCCGTGTGGTGCTCACGGGCCAGGTAAGGGAGCTGTAATCAGCTGATTTTCTTAGCAGATTCCTGCCAGTGCTCAGAAACTGCTGCTCTTCCTGCTGCTGTTGACCCTGGTGCCGATTTCTGCCCAGGCTCAGGATATGAAGCTATCCCGTTTCCGACCTCAAGAAACCCCCCCAAGTCAGAATCTTATTTCTAAGAAGATTTATTTATGCATAAAAAAACTGGGGTGCAGGCCAGAGGTGCAAAGAATGTGAGAGGATGCACCAGAGAGTGGGAAGCAGAAGAGGCAGTGAAGCGCACTGCTGAGGGGAGCAGCGCGCAGGTCAGGAGAGGTCTGCCGCGCCATGTGGGTCAGCTCCTGGGCTGGGGGTTGAACTCCTGCTGCAGTGGTTGTGGCTAGCTTCATAGTGCTGCACTTTAACCAGTTGTGCCACCAGGGAGGGCCCCTTTCCCTTATTTAAAAATCAAAACTGCTAGGACCCAGTATAGGAAATCATGACCAATGTGTCCTCACCCTTAGTGGAAAATAAACTGACCTCCTTTTTCCCTTTTAGAAATTGTCACCTAGGAAAGTGATGCTATGTTCCCCTCTTGGTGTCTGTCTGCCCTGCCCTCCTCAGCCCTGACCCACCCACATGGGCCCTAAAATTATTATTAAGGTCAGGCCTGGCACTTAGGAGAAGAGTGGCTCGGCTGGGTTAAAACAGCAACCTCTGTAGTCCCAAGAGTTACCCAGTTACCTACCACCCTCCGATGCATTGATTTGTTTGACCACTTCCCTTCATCCTTCTTCCCAAAGAGGACTCTTGTGACCAGCTTCACCCTCTGTGCTTCTGAGGTTGCATTCTGGAGGTTGCTGGCTCTTGGTTCAGCATAGGGAGGAAGGAAAAGGAGTAAACTTTGGTGGTCAAGGCACTTTGACTTCATTTCTGCAAAGCAAAGGGCAAGGTTATACATTGCCTTGAGTGGACTCAAGATGGATGGCTCACCTCCAGCCCTCTCAGGCCTACTTCAGAGGGTGAGAAGCATCCTTTGAGATGTTCTTGAAATAGACAAGTTTTTTCTTCCTTAAAGTAGATAGACACCTCTTAAAGCACTTCATTGCTAAAGGACAAATGTTGACCTTGTTACCACGTGGGCGCATAAGAGGAAAGGATGATAGTGAAAACTTCACTAAACTGACTCCAAATTATTCTGCTGTAAGACTCAGGAGCTTATATTGTGTTGTGGATGGGGGTGGATAGGATATGTGAACAGTGGCTAATTTGCAGATGTTATGGAATTTGAGGGTGGTTTAGCTAGAACACATCATATTGACAAGTTGACTGTTGTGTAAATGGTACCAGTAGCGGTAGCAACAATTTTACTTCTGCTTCTAGCCCTTGAATATGATTTTTAAAAAATACAACTGTAAACAGCTACTTGCACATCCAGTCCCCTGAGTTTTTCATCACAAGAAAGCACATCAAAGCTGAAAGAAATTGGCTCCACAAGACAGCATAGAGTAAGGGAGGAGTGTTTTCTGTTTCCATAAAACAAACAACAAAACCTTACCTAGACCAGAGTGATAGGGCAGAATCATGGCAACCAAATCTCCTCCCCAAACTAAGTTTCAAACTAAGCACAGACTAATGTGCTTTTTGGTTTCCTTTCCAAATAATTTCTGCAACTAGATCCAATTTCTCTCTCAGCAGAAACATACATACATATCTTCCATAAGATGACTTTGAATATGCTTTGTGGAGAAAGGCAGAGATCCTGTATTGAATTTGCTCATGTGGTGTTTCCTTGTGTATCCAGGAGGGTCCTGGTGGGTGTCTGGGGTTCTCAGTGTAATCACTAGAATGTTTCCTTTCCTTCTCAGAAGTCTCCTGGTTAGGGTCATAGATTAAATAGATTTATCCTGGAACTGTTATCCAGTGGGCTTCTGCTATTGAAGACCAAAACAACAAATAGGAGATTTTTTTTTTGAGATTTATTTATTTATTCGTGCAGAACTGGGGTACAGGCCAGAGGTTCAGGGGCAGCGAGAGGCTTACCAGAGACAGAGCAGGGAGCAGAATAGGCAGATCTACGAAGTACACTGCTGAGGGGAGCAGTGGGCGGGTCAGGAGAGTTGGCCGGTCCCTTGTGGATCACCTCCGGGGCTGGGGATCGACCTCGCACTGCTGCATCCTAACCCATTGCACCACCAGGGAGGGTCAAATACTTTTTTTCTAAACTTAACAATAGGGCAAACATATTCTGGTAACTTTCTAAAGAACTTTATTCCTAACTAACAGCTTTCCAGCCTTTATTTTAGACTTACGTGATTTCTGTTGTTGTTTGCCTACTGTTTTCTCATATATATTGTTGTCTTGTCATAGGACTGAGGAAAATGCCATAGTTGTCACATCTTTATGACACTGTATTGTGGCATCATTGTCACTTTCTCACTACATAGTTTTGGAAGTGGGGTGTTAGTCTCCTGGCAGTTATCAGGGAATGAGGTGGGGTGATCTACCATTTCTAGAACTTGTAGCTTGCCGGGCCATACCCGCTCTGTGGGTAGATGCTGAGTCTCTCAAGGAGTAGCTGGCCTTTCACGGAAGCACTTTCCTCTTAGTAGTATTCTCCCAGACTCACACAGTTCTCATCATAAATCACATTCTTAGCCCAGTTTTTATTTTCAGTCCCAGAGCCCTCTGGGATGACAACTTCCAGGTGCTGAATAGCCACTTTTGAAAGGTTCCATTCTTTACTTCTATGAATTTACTCCTCAGAAACTCAAAGGTAGGTCTTCTGTGACAGCATTTAAGGAAACCTTGGAAAACACACATTCACCTGACAAGACCCCACGGCCCCTCAGTTATGATCAGACTCCCTCACACATGCACAAACTTTTTCCCCCTCACATGGACTGCAGCGCAGTCCTCCTCCCTGGGACTTGACCCTCTGATCATGGAATCCCATAGACAGAAGTTCCCGTACCTGTGTGGAGAGGTGGACAGGGCTTCTGTTGTATTTCCAAGAACCACACCCGTGCTTTGGTTGCATGTTATTCACTGCAGCAGAGAATGTGTCCCTGCCTTCAGGAGGTGGCTACATTCAACTCTAGAGCCTCCCAGCCCCTGAGTGTGGAAGGGAGGTTTCTCAGTAACTGAAAACTTAGCCCCCTAGAATTGCGAGGAATTTGGCATTTCAGGGACAGACCAAACTCATTTGAACATGGATAAAAGCTTCCTGCACTGTCCATAGTTGTAGGGACTTCTTACTAGTTATGAAAATAGCAGGACCCACCGGCTTCATCTTGGAACAGGGAGGGGGACTAACTAGGTTTTTGTATCCTAAGAATTATTCCTCTTTCTTATCCTACTTGCATTTCTGTTCTTGAAAGAAAATTTTCTACCCACCCAGCAGTCCCATCTCAAAAGTCTCATACCTTTTGAAAGTCCAAACCAGGGACTCTAGTTCCATCAGAGATCTTTTAAACATGGTAATTTGAGCCTAGACTAAGGAGATCAGGACCTTTAAGGATGAAACCCAGGAATCACAGTTGGGATTTCTTTTGTATTCCCAAGTCGTAAAGTACTGATCTAAATACGTCTTTGGGTTTTGATTGCTCATAACTGTTTCCTGCTTAGATGAATGCTGTTGAGATTTTCCTAGTTAGTGGTAGCAACTCAGTGTTTGCCTATTCTGCCTTTCGTCTTGGAGATGGCCATGTTATATGGTAAAGGAGAAACTCCTGTTCAGTAACCAAAACCCAACCCAATTTATATTAAATTCATATTATATTAAAGTCCTGGTTTGGACTTTCAAAAGGTATGAGACTTTTGAGATGGGACTGCTGGGTGGGTAGAAAACTTTCTTTCAAGAACAGAAATGCAAGTAGGATAAGAAAGAAAGCAGAATAATTAAATTTATATTAATTTATATTAAAGCCCTAATTGGTTTTATTTAAGAATTCACGAATTGGGCAGAAGCCCATTTAGCAAAGTTTTCTGAAAACAGTGAAATTGGAAACCTTTTTAGGCAGAAGGGAAGAAAGGGAAGAGAGAATTATTGCAGACTTAGGTAACCTGCCTGTGGTGTAGGATAGGTCTTGTGGAAGATTATCTCATCTTTGGGAAACAGAAAAGCTAAAGTGTTGATGCCGGCAGGAAGTTTGATATTGACCAATTAGGGCTACATCCTTGGGGGAGTTTGAAGCTGCACTTAGGTTAGGTATTAAGTCTTGGTAGAATTAACATAAGCACTCATTGGTGTACTAATTTTCTTTTTAACACCCCTGATCGTTCTCCAGAACTCCCCTTTCTGCTAGTCCTGGAGTCTAGTCTGTTATTTGACATGTGACTATCACCGTGATATTCTCCTTATAAGACATTTCAACCATCTCTGTTGCAAAGATATCTTCAGTTCTACCCAGGGCATGCTCATTTTCTAGATCTAGTCCCACCCTGTGATTCCATGTGCCTGAGAATCTGCAGAGACACTCATGGGCATCCCTGTACTATTTGCAGTCATTACAAAGCCCCCTGTGAGTTGTCCAGCTCCACTGAAAGCAGGTCTGCAAGCCAAATTGAGCACCAAGTCTGCACTTTCCCTGGAACTCCCATTTATTCAAGGTGGCAACTCTGATCTGACATTCCTATTTTTGTAGACCTTTCGTCAGGAAACACGGTAACTGCATTAATTATGAAACATATACATTGTCAGCCATGTATTTTAAAATAATATGTCAATAGAGTAAAAACAAAAAGAGAGTCCTGGAGGTGAAAATAACTAAGAACTGGGTAGAAGACACTTGCTATGTCACATTGCCCTAAGCACGTTATGTGTTTTAATACCACTAACACTTCTAGTGGTTCTAGGAGACACTCCTGCCATGCATCTTCTTGCCCAGATGTTGTTCTCACTGCATGAGCTCCATTATCTCATTTCATCCTTCCCACAGATCCTGTGAGCAAAACCCTGTGAGATAGATTCCAGAGGGAAATAAGGCATAGAGAAGTTCAGTGACTGACCAAGGTCATAAAGACCTGAGTGAGTCAAGCCCCAACTGAACCCCGGAAGCCTTGCTGCTCTGAAGAATCTCGATTTCCCTTCAGAGCTCCCGAGTCTGTCCTCTGATGCCTGGCTACTCCCCTACAGGCTTGTATTTCTGCTCTGCCTTGCAGTTTTCTCCAAGGAAGAAATGTGCATTAATCCAGTGTGTCATGGTGTTAACCGCCATACTTTATTTGAAGTTATTTTATTTGGTTCCTTATAGAATATGGCCTTTCATATGGATTGATATCTTGGCATTTTTGTTGAAACACCTCGAACCATTATATGAGAGTTCTTTCTGCACTACCATGCAACTCTGTTCTTTCATTCTAGCTTACCTAGTGCCAACACTACACTTAACCATGGTTCAGTTATGGCTTTTGACTTTATGATGGTACAACTAGTGATAAGCATTCAGTAGAAAATATAGTTAAATATTGAATTAGAACATTCTGTTTTTCACTTTTGGTATAATATCCAATAAAACTCATGATGGTCAACACTTTATTATAAAATTATAGATTTTGTGTTAGATCAGTTGGGGAAAATCAACTAATATAAGTGTTTTAAGTATATTTCAGATAGGTTGGGATTAGATGTGATGTTTGGTATGTTAGGAATGTTATATACAGTTTGACTTAATGGTGTTTTCAACTTAGTTTATTACCCTTAATCAAGGAAGATTTATCTATTCATTTTTGATGTTTTTATGGTTGATAGATTCTTATATAGATTTGACATATATATACTAACATACTTTTTAGAATATTTCCCCCCCCCCTTTTTTTTACATATACTCAATTTGGGGATTTTTTTCTAATTTCAAAAAGAAATCTAGTTGGACTTGTGATTGGAGTTATTTTAAATATATGTTAGATGAAAGATGGTAGACTTCATTTAAATTCTAGCTATCCGTCTACCTAGGAACACGTTGTTCCTTGACTAGCCCTTGCAGATGTTGTTCTGAGGGAGAGAGAGATGGGCCTCTGTCTACTCCCTCCCCTGGGGCACAATGACCCCAAAGCCCTTGAGTGCTCAGTAGCACCCAGTAGGGAATTGCTTTCCATCATAAAGGAGAACATTTAAAACACCTCTTGGATAAAATCCAGAAATTGGATCGTTCTGTTTTTGATTTGACTTTCTTATTCTTTCCTTCCCATGGTGGTTGGAATCTCTGAGACATGTAGGGTCATCTATCAGAATAGCTCTCTCCATTTCTTTTGGATGCCTGGCAGCTTGCTTCTCCATGTGGGGGAGTGTTGTTTCCTGGTGCCAAATGAGTTGGGAGTGGGGACAAGGACATGGAGACTCAGTCACCCCATGGGTTTAGGTAGGTCATTTGCTGCCCATGGACGCTAACTGAAGAGAAGGGCTGCAGTGAGAGTTGTGTTTCTCCTTCAAACGATTTACCATGGGCTGTCTCTCCCAAGGTCTCCGTCTTTTTTCATTTGCGCAAAGTCTCCTGCTCAGGCATTATCTCCTGGCTCCTAGACTGAGGGACACTGGATAGATGAGGAGTTAAGAACTAATGATTCCAGGGAACCCCCACCTTGTGGTACTCACCTCCTATGTGGGAGCCTGTCTATGAGCAGTAGCCTCTGCAGTCCAAGTCCTAGGCACTCCCCATCTCCACATGGCTCATTCCTTGTGCTCACAAGATGTGTGCTGCACCTCCAAGACTCATTCCACATTCTAGGCAAGAAGAATGGGGAATGGTAAAAGGCACAGTCCATTGGGTTAATTGGGAAAACAAAAGCCAGAACTGAGTCAGAGGCCAACTTTAGATGCAAGGGGTCCAGGGAGGTGACTGATTACCAGACATCGCCAGCCTAATAAAATCACAGTCTGGTTAGTGAGCATGGAAGAGGGAATGGATGTTAGTGATGTGTCCTGCACCCGGGACTCAAATATTGGCTTTGCACATTATAACATCCCTCTTCACTGCTGGTATTTAACCTTTTGCCAAACCATTTCTCATTCCTCCTTAGCATTTCATATGTAAAATATTTTAAATTAGATTAAAAAGCTAATAAGCTTATTTGATTAAAAACATGGGAGGCAAGCTTGCTGTGCAGATCGCAGGCATACCCACACCACATGTCCCTGAGAGCCCGCCGCTGCTCAAAGCCGGTGGCCGCACCCGCAGGCCTCGCTCCTCCCGGCCACCATGCCCCCAAATAGCTGGGATGCTTTCAGTGATGTTCTTCACAATGGAGTTTTAATTACCAAAGGCATACTTAAGGATCTAAAATAGAATTTTAGCAGTTGAGTCTGGAAAGGCCATGTAGGACTCCAGGGGCCACAGCCCATTTCCCCTGGCAGCTTCTCCAGCTCAGCTGCTTCAGCCTGCTAAGTTCCCTTCTTCAGAGGAGAACTTCATGCAGGAGCCAGATGGTGCTCGGCTGGGGCCCACCTCTGCCGTGCTGTCAGAGCCCTGGACTGGCTCCTGAGATTCCCCCGAAGTGCTTCCTCCATGCTGCCAACTTGTCTCTGGCCGTTTCCAGTAACGGAGACAAAGGCATCTTTTATCCCCTTCCAACTCCAGGCTGGGTCCTAAATCTTCAGGTCCCCACTTAAGTGTCAGCTTCTCTAGACTCTGGGCCCGCCACCCCCAGGTGAGTTAGTGACCCCAGCATGCACCTCATTTCTCGGTGCTGAGTGTGTCTTTTCCTGCAGGACATCCACTGTCCATCGCATTCATCTTTGTCTTCCTGGGCTTATTACCTGAATCAAAATAATCATCCTCCCAGCTCTGTTAGGCTCAAAGGAAACCTGAACACACACACACAGCTTGTCAGGTCTTCCCACTGGCAACCCATGTCCCCAGAGCCCCCGCCCATAGCTTCCCAAGAGCTAAAAGTAGAAACTGAGGACCTTCTCACAGTTCTGGGCATAGGCCAGTGTTCACACCTCACACACTTACTGGGTTCTGACCACACTTCCCCCACCAGGTCAACAAGGAAGCCACACACACAAGGACTCTGTGATGACATAGGACATCTCTTGTCCCCTGTCCCCTTCTCAGACTCTGTCTAGTTGTACCTCCTTCCTCCTCGCCATTCATGCCCTTTCTGTGTCCTTCCTTGGAAGGCCCCTTCTAGCCACCAATTAGACAGCCCTGTAGATTTTGAATGTGGCAGGTGCTCTGATGTGAGGGGCAGAGGCGTGCATTGTGAGGGGATCCCTGGGGGAGTGCAGCTGGTCATCCAGAAGCCCGCATTGCCAGATTCTTCGCATCCCTCCTGTGTGTGCACTACATGTGACAATTGCATCCGTCCCCGAGTTACCACAGGCACTCGGGCCAACCAAGGGCAGCCTACCCTTCCAAGCCACAGGAAGGGAACACAGAGGTTTTTGTTGTTTCTACTGCTTCTATGAGGGGAAAAAAAGTACTTTTTTTCCTTGTGAATATCACATTTTTCCCAATTGAAGGAAACTCAATTTTATTTTCTAATGTGTCTGACTCGTGACATTCATGGCTGACTAGCACTTAACTCTCAGCACTGAGCTCTGGTCTCTTTCTTCTATGCTGAGTGGTAGCCAGTCCTCCCCTGAGCCGAGTTGGGGCCATTTGTTTTCACCTCTAACTAGGCAGTGAACTTGCTTTCAATAATGAAACACAGGAAGGAAGGACCAAAGATGATGCATTACTCTTGACTTCTTCTTATTTTATCACCAAGAAAACTGCTGCAGATGGAAAAAGACAGGAGATCATCGTCCTGGATTCCAAGAGGAGCAATGCTATCAATATTGGTCTGACGGTACTTCCCCCTCCAAGGACCATTAAGATAGCCATTCTGAATTTTGATGAATATGCCTTAAACAAAGAAGGAATCGAGGTAAGAGAAGTCCCATCAAGCATTGTTTGTGTTCTGTAATATGTCCCATATGTACAGAATTACTGTGTCCAATGTGACTTTCTCTGCAGGGTGGCTTGCCATTTTTCTGTCTCAGCCAAACTCTGAATAATGTTAATAATTCTCACTTCTTTTTTTTAACTTCTGATGGAGGGGAGCCTCCTTGGCCTATGAAGTTCAGAGATCTTCAACCTCTGGTTCATTTACTTAGTTCTTGCTACCCAAAGTCCACCTACCTCAAAGTGGAAGAAGAAAATAACCTTTTAGGAGATTGGTATAGTCACCTTAAGGGTCCTTTTAAGTCAGATATATTTACTAAACAGTTTTAAATTAGAGTTTTCTATGTGGACTCGCCTCCCTGTAAGTGGCTTTGTTTCTCTTTTATTCTCTTCTGGCATCCATTGGGGTGTGTAGAGAGGAGTTTGATGTGATAAGTTAGAGATTAAAGTTGATGTGGTTAATTATAGTCAACTGAGTCTTTGGCATTTGCTATGTGAATGTTGTGTACGGGGAAAGGTAGGTGACGAGGGTCCTTCTACACAGCTGGAGGAGACCCAGCTGGCCCACTGCTTGCCTGCTCTGTCAGAGTTCAGTGCTCTTTTCTCTTCACCATGGGCTGCCACTGGTCACTTTACTGAGGACGGCTTGTGACACATTAATTCTCATAAGCCAATAACAGATAAAAGTGAGTAGAGCCAGTGGCTCAGTCACGGATTCCTACCCAAGGGCATTGTGCCCTGGGGTCCTGTTGGGTCAGAGCAGGGATCTGAGGACACTCCAACTGTGGCATTGGGTAGCACCCAACCCAATCTCCTGCTGGTAGGGAGTCTGGATTTCTTTAAAGCCTTTCCATAGTTGCGGTTCACTAAAATGCAGCTTTATTTGAAAAACTCAAAAGTGAAGAGAGCCAATGAAGACAAACTAGAGGGAGGGCTCAGGCCACTGTGTTGGATGCACTGTGGCCCTGAAAGCAGGAGGGAGTACTGAGGCTCCTGGGGCCAGGGGGACATCTCAACCGAGCCAGACAGGTATGCTTTGCAAAAAAAGAAAAGCAGAGGCCCTGCAGGAAAAACTGTCTTCATAGAGATCTGTACTGAGTAGACTGGAGTCTCTCTCAAATGTCTGTCCATCCAGAACTTCAGACTGTGACCTTATTTGGAAGTAGGGTCTTTGCAGATGTAATCAAGTTAAGATGAGGTCATACTGGAATGGGTCCTGCTCAGTGACTAGCGTCCTTATAAGAAGAGGGAGGTTTGGACATCCACCCAGACAGGAGAATGCCATGTGAAGACAGAACACACAGGGAGACCAGAGAGACGGCCAAACAAAGGCCATGTGACAATGGACAGCGATTGGAGTGATGCATTTACAAGCCATGAAATCCCAAGGGTGGCCTGCAATGCTCAGAAGCTGCAAAGAGACAAGAAAAGATCCTCACCTGGATCCTGCAGAGAGAATGGCCCAGCTGACACCTGGATATCAGACGGTAGTCGCTCCCACTGGGAGAGAATAGACTTCAGTGTTCTAAGGTATCAGTTTCCAGCACCTTGCTAGGGTGGTCCAAGGACATCAGTACAGGCCATAGTAACTTTCCTTAGAGAAGCCTGGATGTGTGCCCTTCCAGGAGCAGGCGCAAGAAGGGAAATGCCTGGGGAGTGGTTGAGCCCCTTTGTGGTCAGGCCTCAAGGCAGCTTGGAATATCCAGGTGGGCAGCCAAGTGGGCAGGTAGCCATGGAGACACAGGGTATAAAGGAAAATCAGGTGACAGCAACCAAATACAGAGAGGAACATTGAGGAAGCTTCCGGACAGTGGGAAAGGGACAGAGCATGCCTCGGTGTGTGGCAGTCTGTGATCTCTGATCTCAGGCACCTCAGCAACATGGCAGCTCTCGTTCATGTGCTGAGCCAAGCCGGATACCCACAGCTGCTTCTCCAGGCTTCCCGTTCAAGAGGTAAACCAGGACCAAGAAGAGGTGAAAGTTGCTTGTTACAGGTCTTTACTAATAAGGTTTCCAGCTGCTGTTCAAAAGGCCCTTTGCCAAACTGCTTCTTGGAAGCAGGCTCTGTAGCATGGCACTGCGGCGTCCTGGGGCCACTGGAAATCAGTGTGTGCCTGAATGTGATGAAGATCAGACAGAGCTGTCCTGCGGCTTAGCTGAGCCACCCACTCGTCTGTTTCTTGGGTTGCCATGAAAATCTAAGTGGTAATTAACTAAACTGATTAAGCCCTTTTTCATAGGAAAACTAAACTTCAGAACAATATTCTGGGGCCCTCCCTATGGGGTAACATAAACGACCGAGTTGTCACAAATAGAAGTTTGAAGGCTCTTTTTCTCTCTTGCTTCTCTAATTTTTGTGGTGTCTGCCACCTCAGAGGGCAGCATGATTGAACAGTCCCAATTGACTTTAACCTGCCTCTGTTGGCTGCCAGCCCCATCAGCAGCCGAGCAACAGAAGTCCCTTCAGCCACAGTACAAAAGAACGGACTCTTCAGCAGCTTTTGTGTGATACTAACCCTACCCATGCGTGTCCACGGAGGGGACAAAGCACAGGGCCAGTCACCGAACAGTAACTGCTCTGGTAGATGTGTATTTCTAGTTGAATTACCATGAACTAGGGGGAGCCCCAAGGTGGTTCTTCAGCTCTGCCTTGATGGGTCTAACCTGACTTCAGGTGACTCATTTCCTCTGCAAGTTCAGGGCAATGATTTCTGCCCTATGTACCTCACTAAATAGTCAGAAGAACAAGAAAAGACACTATGAAGACAACTTGACAAGTTATGAAAAAGGTGTGCTTATGTATGCATATGCATATATATAGATAGATATACACACATATATTTGCATGTGTATTGTGTATGTATGTGCAAACATGATTATATGCTTATATATGTCTATATGCACACACATATAAAATATCCCTCCATGAAGATAAGTGCACAAGGAGAAAACCATTGTCACACAAGTGTATGCAAGTTGTGTCCATATTCACCTCAACTCAAAGGTTCTACCTTTCTGGTATTGCCCCAAAAATCCTTGTACTAGATTTTTATCTAGAGCTGTGTCTATTAAAATGAGACTGATGCGTTTTTCTCTAACATACAGTTCTCAGATACAAAAGCAAATATGTTTAAAGCATTGCTGGAGAGATACTGGGTAAAGTGAAAATAGTAAAACCACTGAGATTATCACATAGTGGCCATGTTTGATGTTTTTCTGTGAAACTATATGGTGATCATAAAATTGTCCATGGATCTACTGGCATGGGAGAAGAGCAAACAAAAGAGAAAAGGTACCTCCTCATTCTCATCGCCTTCTCTGTCCACAGAGAAGGGCCATTACCTCATAGGAGGTAGCTTTGACCTGCCGTTCCACTATCTTACGACTATTTTTATTGTCAGTGATGTGTAAAAAATTAAATAAAATGGCAGGTGGCAATCTCATAAATCTTCAACAATGACCAAATGGTTTAGATTAGTCAGAGAAATGAAAAACAAAATAAGAGTGTTTGACTACTTTCCCAAAAGGGGGGGGGGGAAGAATAGCCTAAAATCATCTCAAGAAAATGCTTTCTGAAGAAGGAAAGAGGGAAGAGCATTGACACTTTTTGTTTTGACCTTCTTGTGCTTGCTTAGCACTATTAAGCAGGTAAGCAACTTGAAATAAAAATTTTCATAAAGTTTTCATTTTGAAACTTGAGTTCAAATCCTGGATGGCAGACATGGTGTCTGCTCAGATTACCTAGGTTATTTTCTTACTACCCTCTCTGTGACTGGTGGGGTCATCTCCCATGCAATTTGGTATCGCTGTCTTCAGACAAATGACTAATCCTCCTCTCACTCGCTGTCCCAGGACAGCTCCTACCCGACCAGGAGACATCGTGAAGCACCATCGTGTAAACATCTGCTTGCTTACTCATGGTGCTATCAAATGTCCAGTATTTGATTCTGTTCGCTTTTGCTTTAAACCAGAGTGTGAACTGGTATTCCATTCCACATTTTAAAATATGTGTGCATTCATGGAATGCCTGCCACAGTCAGGACTCTAAATGGTACCATCTTCTGAAAAAGCCCTGATGCTGTCCCTTTCCAGTCACTTCTTCAACTGACCTGTTGCCCTGACAACCCCCGATCTGTTCTTTTTACCATATTTTATCTAGAATGTCAAGTAAGTGGAACCATACAGGGTGTCACTTTTGAAGACTAGCTTCTTTCACTCAGCATGGTTCTTTTGAGAGTCAGCCAAGTGATCTTACATGGCTGTGCTTTGTCCCTGTTGCTGCCAAGGACCATTGTACCCTAGATGCACCACAGCTGGTCTTTTTACCTGTTGAAGAATATGTAGCTTGGTCTAGTGTTTGGCAACTTGGAAACAAACGCTTCTGTATGAACCTAAGTTTCATTATTTTTAGGGTAGAGACCTACAAGAGACTGGCCCTTTGAACCATGCCATGCCTACCTACTACAGAGTCAGATGGAAGCGCTGTTGAAACTTTTGGAGAATTGTAGCTTGTGACATTTTTTATTTTATTTTTTTGCACAGAGAAAAAATTTTTAATTTGGTGGATGTCTAATTGTTCAACTTGTTCATTTTTTTGTATCATCTAAGAAGTCATTATCTGCTGTGGGTCACAAAGATTTTTCTCCTGTATTTCCCCCTAAAAATTCTGTTGTTCTACCTTTTATGTTTAGATCTGTGAGCCATTTTGAGTTAATTTATAGATAAATGTAATACTTATTTTTGGATTTTTTGCATGTAGATTCAGTTGTACCAACACAACTTGTTGGAAACACTCTTTTCCCACTGAATAGTCTTTGCACCTTGTTCACACCAATGGGTCATATTTGTGTAGTCTGTTTCTGGATTCCCTATTTTGTCCTATTGATTCACTTGTCTAGCCTATTACCTGTGCCCTCTTTTTT